GGTCGCGCCGCAATCCCTTCTCCTCCATTCTCCTCTCGGGATCTTGGGCACGCACGCACACGCGCCCGGCGTGAGTTTAAGCCACCGAGTCCGGGACTTGAACCGCGGTCAACTACATGGGAATCCAGCGACAGCCATTACGCCAACTGTTGGTCCCTCCAAAAGTTCAGTTTTTTAGGGATGTCCCCTAAGGCTTCCTAGGCTGGGACTTGACTGTATTGTAGGGTGGTGAGTGAAAACTTACTTCCTGGGACCAGCACATAGTCTAATGGTTACGCCGCTGCACTCCCACAGAGCCAACCGTGGTTCGAGTTCCGGACCCGGTGGCTTGAAACTCACATGGGGCACGTGTACTGGTGTGCCCAAGGTCCTGGCAGGAGAAGGGATTGCAGTGTGACCATTCTCCGGGGGGTGATTTCTTGCTTTCTGTCTGTCTGTCTCTCCAATGAGCACACATGCCCTTTAGCAAAAATCTCTCTAAAAAAAAAAAAAAAAGGAAAAATGGGAACCAGCAGTTAGCGTCATGGCTATGTCGCTGGACTCCCGTGTAGCTGACTGTGGTTCGAGTCCCAGACCCAGTGGCTTAAACTCACGCCGGGCGCGTGTGCGTGCATGCCCAAGATCCCGAGAGGAGAATGGAGGAGAAGGGATTGCAGCATGGCCATCCCCCCTGGGGGGTGATTTCTCACTTTCTGTCTCTCTGTCTCTCTCTGTCTGTCTGGTGAGCGCACGCGCCCTACAGTGAAAACCTCTGCAAAAAAAAAAGAAAAAGAAAAAAGAAAAAGGTACTTCCTTTGTGGTGTCCCAGGGTGGGAATATTTGAATGTAGTAACAGTGAGCTGGCCTTGTAGCCTAGTGGTTAAGGGAACAGGACTCCACAAAGCTAAACAGGGTTGGAATCCTGGCCACCGAAGCTTGAAAAACACACTGGGTGTGTGTGCATGCCCCAAATCCCCACAGGATGGGGCCTGCCCTGAGGCCTGGTGGTTAAGGGAGCCAGATCCCATATGGCTGGCCACAGAGTTCAAATCCTGCTCTCAGGATTTGAACGTGAAAAACGTGTCAGCTTGTGAACGTGCATGCCCCAAGTTCAACAGGACGGAGAAGCAGAGGGGACAGGATTGTGGCATAACCATACCACGTCAGGGTGTGTGTTCTCCCTCCCTCTCTTTCTCTCTCTTTCTGGAGACTATGCACACCCTCTGGCAATTAAAAAAAAAAAAAAAAACCTGTTGGGGACCAGCAGTTAGCGTCATGGCTATGTCGCTGAACTCCCACATAGTCGACCGCAGTTCGAGTCCCGGACCTGGTGGCTTAAACTCACGCCGGGCGCGTGTGCGTGCGTGCCCAAGATCCCGAGAGGAGAATGGAGGAGAAGGGATTGCGGTGTGGCCATCCTCCCTGGGGGGTGATTTCTTGCTTTCTGTCTCTCTGTCTCTCTCTGTCTGTCTGGTGAGTGCACGCGCCCTATAGCAAAAAGCTCTCTAAAAAAATTAAAATAAATAAAGGCCTTTGAAGTCTTCCCACCCCCATGCTCCCTAACCAGCACGCAGCCCTCCTTGTGGCCCCTCGGTCAGTTGGGCCAGTCGCTGTCGTCTGAGGCGGCTTCTGCCCGGCCCGACGCTGAACACCCACCCGAATGGTCACTGCCCTAGGTCTGCCTGTCTGTCCGCCTCCTGTCGGACGCTCCATAAAAATCTCTCTACAAAGAAAAAAAAAAAAAGTAATTACATTAATTAATAAGACATTCTAGAGATTTTTTGCTATAGGGCATGCATGTTCACCAGAGACAGAGACAGAGAGAGAAATTGAGAAAGCAACTTGCAAGGTCTAGGACTTGAACCATGGTCAGCCATGTGGGAGTCTAGTACCTTAACCACTCCACCGGCCGGCCCCACATCTGTGTGATTTTTTTTCTTTTTGGTGGTGGTGGTGTTTAAAAGATTTATTTATTTATTTATTTATTAAATAAGTATTTTATTCATTGTCATTGTTTTATTTGATTTTCTTGAAGTTGACCAGAGAGAGACAGAAAGGAAAAGTGAGAAAGCAAGCTGCCAGGTCTGGGACTTGAACCATGGTTGGCCACGTGTGAGTCCAGTGCCTTAACCACCATGCCACCTGCTGGCTCCCATCTGGTGTGTTTTTCAAGTCTCCAGGGCCAGGATGTGAACCACAGTCAGCCATGTGGGATGCAGCTAGGCCACGGGGCCGGCCGGCAAGAATGTCTTTTATTTTTTCATTGTTGTTATTGTTTTAAATCCATCTATCTCTCCCCTTCCACGAACGAGAAAGAACAGTGAGCGTCAGGCAGTCCTGACAGCGTCTCGCCATGTCGCGGTACCCCTCCAGCCTCTCGGCCCCCCCAGGATCGTGGCCACAGCTGTCATGCTCTGGGGGGACCAGGGATCCGATCCTCAGGTCAGATATGGCTGCCGCATCGTAGGCCAGTGCCCCACCACGGTTGGCCACTCAGAGCTAACATTAGCTGTGGCCACCAGGGATTCTGCTTTTCCTTGTGCTGCCCTTCCTGTGTCTCCCAGCTCTGCAGGGTCAGCTCCCAGGAACACAGGCCTCGGTCCTGGCGCTCCCAGAGCAAATGGCCCCGATGGCTCTGCAGCCGCCTGCAGGGAGCCACGCCTGCACAAGGGAAGCCCCCGAAGCCCGGCATGAGCGCTCCCAGCCTGGGCCGCAGGGTCCCTGGCACGGCTGCAGGGTTTATAGGAAAGGTGACTGGAAGCTGCGGGTACGGTGTGATCTGGGGGTCAAAGTCCCTCCACGTTGCTCTCGCGTGGAGTGGGAGAACCCGTGGCCACCAGCTGTCACAGCCCTTGGAGACATGCTGTCTTTTAAAATTTTTGATTTCACTTTATTGATTGAGTTTCATTTGATCAGAAAGGGACAGAACGAGAGAGAAAGAGAAAGAGGGGAAAGTGAGAAAGCAAGCTGCCAGGTCCAGGATTCGAACTGCAGTCGGCCATGTGGGGGTCCAGCGCCTTAACCACCACGCCCCCTGCTGGCCCCAACCGCGATAACATTTTTCTTTCTTTTTTTTTGGAGAGGTTTTTGCTATAGGGCGTGTGCACTCGCCAGACAGACAGAGAG